AACTCCCAGTTAAAATGAATAGAATACTGTATTGATGTCTGTCTGAAAATTCCTCTCTGTAAGTAACTGGGACTGTTTGACTGGGTTTTTTTAACCTGTTTATTTATGAGGATCCTGAGAAGTTTATTTGGAGGAGTTTCCACCATTTGTTTTAGTTCACTTGTATTTTTACAGTTAGTAGCCTAGAGGATAAGAAACAACCTCTTATATCACACATAGCCTGTGGCTCTTCCCTCCAGGTGAAGATTTTTTTACTTTAATGGCTCACTAGTGCCTGGAGCTCACTGGAACAGTGTGCAAGGTCCCTATCTGGGACTAGCTTTCCGTTTCTCCTCTTTACTCTCTCTGTGCTTCCGTGTAGATTGCAGGTTTGAAACCTTTTTATGGTTAGGCCTTTTGATGCTGCCTTCTCCACACTCCTTTGGTGTTGTCTCTTCTGTCCTTGCTGCCATCATTTTGTCAGTGTGGGGCTCGAGTACAACAGCAGAGCCTGTTGTGTGATACGCTGCCGGATGTCATTCCCAGTGAGGGGTCCCTTCTTTAGGCTGCTGTGTTTCCTTGGCCAGGATGTTGGTATTGCATTGTGAGGTGTCAGTATAGAGATTGACGTTGCTTGGGCCCTGGCTGGTAACTTTTTTTAGTTCTGAGACGGCTTATGATGGGGACAATAGGAGACTGGTCTTCAGGAAGCTGTGTGTGGGCTTCCCTATCCGTTTTGCTTCCAGTTTGCTGTTTATATGTCAAAGACTGGGATGGTTTTATTTTGTTAGGGTATCCACGTTTGTACTTTGGCTGGCCTGGCCAGGTGATGGATGTGATGTACACATTACTGACAGCAGAGCTTGAAGGTAACTTTTGCATTTGCACAAGATTTGTGTAACTGAATGAGGGAGGGAATTGGTGTGTTCTAAACAGGAGGCCCTTGGCTCTAACAGCCTGCTGGCCTTTTGGCCTTGCAGTAGGCTTTGTTTGTTCAGGCTTTTTCCTGGTAAGCAATCTGGCTGTTCTGGGTTTTTTCTTTTGGAGTTACTTTTTTTGGACATTAATTGAGTTTAGTTGCTCTCATGTTTGATTGTTTTACATGAATGGTTGCAGTGCTAAATTCATCCTGGAATCTGTATCTCATAAAATTAAAACCAGCATACAGTATCTGGAAATGTTACTTTAAAAGAGATTTATCTTGAGTATTTTGGATCATCTTACTCATTTACGTTATGTTGCAAGTTCACTGAAAAGACGACAGGATTCACAGAGAATACATTTGCAAGCAGTTTTTAAAACTGGGATCAGAACCCTTTTTAAAGCATGAAAAATTGGGGATTTTTTATCAAATCAATTTAAGCTGGTGTGACCTGCAAAGCATTCATGTAGATGGTAAATGAAGTTGGCTGAGAGGAATTTGACACTACGGGTAAATTGTGTAACTAAACTAGCTAGTGATAGACTTGTACATTTTGCTCACTACTTCCTCTGCTCAGTTTCCTGTGTTGATTCAGGAATAAAGTTGCATCCTCTGCTGGCTGGGTAATCCCAAAAGTCCTGGATGGGGATTAGACCCATTTTTTGCTGGTACAAAACAGAAACTGGGAGGTGCCAAATTCCATTTGTCTGAAAGTCTTTCATGTTAATGTATGTCTCCTGCAGTCAGTGAAGTTGGAGAAAATGCTTTTGATTTTTCTGGGAAGTTTCTAAGCAAAAATTTTTGGATGTTACATTTAAAAACCACTAGTGAATTTGATTCACTTATGCACCTATTTTTGTGCAATTCCTGTTTTTTCCATGCAAGTGTTGCTGTTGGTTTTTTTTCCGTGGAAGTCAAATAGCTCAAACTAATAGCAGTTAACTGGCACTAACTCCTTAAAGTGAGAACATAAACAATGTGCTGAGCTTTTTCAGTAGCATTTTACAACTTTCAACAGGGTAATGTTCAGTGTGGAGCTTGTTTTTATACTATATATTCCATTTATAATGTTTAATAGTACATAAGCAGCACTGCTTTGGCCTTGATTACATACAGGAAGGAATAAAATGTATTAGTGGCATGCTGGCTTTTTTGGGACTTTCTGTACTTGTTTTCTGTGAATATTTCTATTTTCTGCAAGTAAGTACACACTGAAGGTTTATATTTTGGACTGATAACATGCTATTGTATCACTAGAATGAAACATTATTATTTATTTTTTCTAATGTGATGAGTTACATTAGCATAAAGTTCATGCAGTTGCAATATTTGTCAGGAAAAGATGCAAAAGGAAGCATATTTGTTCTGTACATAGCATGTCGGAGATCTCATTATATAAAGCTTAAGACGTGTAACATTACCCGCATGCCTAGCACTGAGAATTGCAGCTTTCCTCTCTTTAGACAAGTATCTCTTTAGATACTGAAGGTGTAAGAAGCTGTCCTCTTGAGCTTTTGTGTTCACTTTATTACAAGGGAATATTGAAGAATTCAATCAGTACCTGCAGGTCTGACTATGAAATTATCTAGAAGCAAAGCACAATGATTTGTCACATTTTTTCATAGCTGTAGAAAATACGAAAACACCATTTTTTTCTATTCATTGCATTCATGTTCTTTAAGGATGTAGCAGTTTTATGCATTGCCTAAATACCAGAGCATTTCAGATGATTTCAGTGTCTTAGTTTGATCCTGAAAGACTTCATCTGTAATAAGAAGCACCAAATTGTAGTATCTCTCTAATATGCTTGTCTAAATCAGTGCTACGTAACTTGAAAGCCCCTTCTTAGCTTTTTATACTTTTGACACTAGTTAACATTTAGGTGTTTCATGATCATTTAAGTTCTTTTGCAATATGAAGTTCATGTCTACTTAGAGAAAATAATCACCAATTTACTTACACAGTGTATATAAATTAACCGACTTTTGTTCTGTCTACATTTATATGCAGTCAAGAAACCAATTTATTTATGCTTTTCCCTGTAAGGTATTATAGTTTGTAAGCAAGGAGAAGAATATTTTCAGCTGTGCATATGATAGCAAGACCTCCAAGGAAATGCTACTTTGATGGGATTTTTAAGTTTTGACACATCAGTGTGAATACTGAGAGAAGTATAAAGTAGTTGGGACAGAAAGTAATCAAGAGCATTTTAATAAGGGATGCTGACATGTGTGGGAATATCTGCTGGGATTTATATGTTTATTGAGTTTCAAAAACTGGGAATACAAAAGAATATTTGCTTTAGATCTCAGAAGCAGAACCATCTGCAGCAGTGACTTCCTGAAAAACTTGTGTCTGTTGTTTTAGTGGGTGGGAGACCATCAGTTCTATATGTTATTCTGTACTGCTGTGTCTTGCCTACTTCTTTATCTGTGGGATTTTTGTGTCATATGTATGTGTCAAAACACATTATGAGAATGAATTAATGTCTTATTTGTTCAGACAGGTGGAAATAATAAATTTTGGCTGCAAATCTTTATTCCCCTAATATTTTGACAATGTCTCAAATATAATAGCTAAAGGAACATTTTGTTGTTGAATTAAAGGGCGCCTTCCTTTTTTATTTAGATTATCTTTTAAGTGCTGTGGGAAAAAAAATATTAGGAATTACTGTTTGATATTAGCCTTGTGTGTTGCAATTACTGCAGTAAGGAGAAGATGTCCTTATTTGATCAAATCAATTTATGTGTAGGTGTAGGAGAAGGAGAGAGTGGCCTGTAGTGTGATTAATAGCTAGGACTATATACACTGATTTAACAAATAGTATTCCTCTACATTATACTTTCCTTTTAATAATGTCCTGACATTGTTTATCAGTGTCTTTTGCAGTCTGAAGAAATAGAATGTGCCTCTCTCAAAAGCAAGGAATGCTGTAGGAAGCTAAGGCTACCTGTTCAGCACACTAGTATGGGGTTTGCCATGGTGGGATAAGAGGTAATGAGGTCAATGCAGTTCCAACTCTGTCACAGAAGAAAGGCAGATGATGGTGATGGGATTAAGTAACAAGGTATAAACTCACAGTACATTAAAAAAAAATCTTGTCAGACATGTGTGTATAAATATATTGTATGTTTATATAAAATGTTTATATAAAGACACATAGATGAGCTTCTAGGGTAACTCCGACCAGTGTATGGGTGTATGACTCCAACCTGTAAACAAGATCATGAGATGCCAAGCCCTGTCCAGTTAAGACCTGTGTTTGGCTAAGGGGAAGGGCTTAAAAATCTTCATGCCCTTTTCCAGAAGCTCCAGTTCCTCCAGCCTGCCCTTGAATGTCTCTTGCTGCAAACTAACCCTTTCTCACTGGTCAGGCTCTGTTTGCCTTCCTGCAAATACCTTCAAGAAAACACTGTTGACTGTTTAGCTACACCATTAGTTTGCTAGTAGAAGCAGGGCAGAATTTCCTTCCTACTTTATATCTGAGTGAGAGTGTTATTTAGGCCAATCTGTTAGGCAGGTCTGCCTCATGTAGTAACTTGGTATGATAGATGTTGTACTGAGAAAAAAATTAAGGACCTCTATCTGTTGATTTACTAAATTATTAAAGTGGATGCGAGCATTGGATTTATGCAATAAACTATGGTGCATGAAAAAAAGGTTTAATTGACTTCAGTCTTTAATTATTTAAGAAGGATGAGTTTAGAAAATGTGATCAGCTCCCCCTGCACTCTGCATTAATAGTCTTCCATTGTTCTTAACTGTATGAGGGTTGCACTGGGGATTAGCTTTATCGCTAATAGTCTCATGTTTGACAGTCTTTAAGTTTTTAGTCTTAAGTTTGACAGTCTAGAATGGGGGGATAAATAAGAAAATATTTATCAGTTTGAGTTTAGCAGGATGAAATCAACATACAACTTCCTTTTAGATTATCAGCACAACTTTCCCTCCCTTTTGGTCTTGCGTGTAGTTGACATGGTATGCACAGAGAGGCATACCAGGACACTGCAGGAGTTAATCTTAAACCTTCTCGTTGCTCCATAACATTTTAAACCTCTTTTTTTCTTTTTTCCTTTTTTTTTTTTTTTTCCCTTTACAGGAAATGACCTAGAGGCCTTACAAATACATTTGTGCATTTTTGTTCTGAGTCTCCAATTGAGGGCAAATGCAGTCTGGAAGCACCACTTCTTAATGTTGCAACGGAAACAACTACCTCAACAAACAAAGGGAAAGAAGGCTTGCAGTAATAAACACTCTAATTTTTAATAGCTTACACTTGCAAAGTCTTCTGTAAACAGTCCAGATTACTATTTTTTTTCCCCTCCAGTATTAATAAGAGACACCACAAGTAAATCAATTTGGCAGACTGGATCTGTCAAGACGTTTGAAGATACTTGATCTGCTGACGTAAGGATTTGTTTTTTCAAGGAGGGAGCCTCTGCACTGCTTTTAGAATCGCTGTTGATCGGTGGTTTGCTCCACTTTCCCTAATATTACTAACAGGAAAATCATATTAAGCTATTGCTTCTAAAACTGTTACTTGCATTGACAAAAATAACGTCTGTAGACTTAACAGCAAGTGATTACAATATGCTCGTGAAGAAATTGTAGGCGATAGTTTCTCTGGTCCAGCATTGCTTTTCTGTGTGCAGAGTGGAAAACCAAGCAGGAGACAGAGCATTATTAGGATACGTCGGATTGCTTTTTGCCTACAGTTTTAACTGCAGCGGGGCTGCACTGAACACTGAAAATACGAAGTCAGCAAATCTGCTGCCTTTCTCACTGCTGATACAGATTACACGGACGCTTGCCTTTTTGAAATGCCTTTTGTGAAACCTGCGTACACAGTCCTCCACTGTTACTGTACGTAACTATATATTTGGGGAAGAAATTTGACAAGTGATTGTTAATTCAAGGAATCTTTGGACAAGCACTCACTTATGTATTGCTGTAGTGCACAAGAAAGCAAAATGGACTATAAGCGGCGCTTTTTGCTTGGCGGGTCCAAGCAAAAAGTGCAGCAACACCAGCAGTATCAAATGCCTGAACTAGGCAGGACGCTGAGCGCACCACTGGCATCTACATCCACAGCATCCCCCTTGGTCTCCTCAGCTGCTGCAGGCAGCTGCAGCCACCCTGTGTCCCATACAACTCCGATTGCAGACATCCAGCAGGGAATCTCCAAATACCTGGATGCACTCAATGTGTTTTGCCGTACAAGCACTTTCCTTACAGACCTTTTCAGCAGTGTATTTAGGAACTCGCACTATTCTAAGGCAGCTATGCAACTGAAAGACGTGCAGGAACATGTCATGGAAGCAGCGAGTCGACTCACAGCAGCAATAAAACCAGAAATAGCAAAAATGCTGATGGAACTGAGTGCAGGAGCTGCAAACTTTAAAGATCAAAAAGAGTTCAGCCTACAAGACATTGAGGTAAGTTACCTTGGGGGATACTGTTTTGCGTGTGAATTTATATCATTCCTTCTTAGTTGGACATCTCTGCAAAATCACTTCTACACCGAAAGTTCCCTCTGCTTTGCTTTGTGCTTGTGGACTGTGCTAGTAAAAAAAGAAACTATTTCCTGTGTTTTCCTGAACGTAGTAAGTCATTTGCAGTGCCTAACTTCCAGCCATGTTGAATTAGGTATTTAATAGGTATTTCTGTATAAGAACTTGAACTCTAAAATTTAAAGATGTCATGAAATAAGAAACACGAGGTACAATTACAGTGTATCACCTATAAATTTCTAAATGGTAATCTTCTATATGTTTTAATCTTAAAACCTGCCATCCAACAACCTCTTTATTCTTGGGGGCAACTATGCTTAGTTTAAAAATGATAATGCAAAACAACAAAAACCCCCAACCAACCAAACCAGCACCCTGCTCCTCCAAACCAGCTAGATAGAAGTTTTAAACAGTTTTCTGTTTTATGTTAGCTAATATTTCTAACAATATTAAGCCATCATATTCTATATCAACCTATACTTTCCTTAGTATTATCTGTTCTAAGAGGAAATCTGAACGCTGGGAGTGGCGTATTGTCATCAGTGTTTGTGTAAAACTGCATATTATGTGACTAGTGATTGAAATTGGTGTGAAAACATGTTTTATCACTCTTGGAAGCATTTTTGTATTTTTGAGCTGTTGTGCTTAGAAGAAAAATACCATGCTAGACTGAGACATTTGACATTTTGTGTTGTAAAAAATTTGTCCTGACTTTGCTATAATTTCCATACTTTGTCAGCGAGTGCCCAACAGCCAGAATTTGGAGTTAAAAGAAGATGCCCAACTCTCATTGTGCCTGGCCGAGTATTTCTGAGTATTTCTCCTGTAGTAAATGTCTTAACTGCGTAACAGGCAGTGTTAAGTGACAGTCACAGATGAATCCCTGGTGTTTTAAGTAGTTCCTCATATTTTGACATATTTCTTTACAGCAGTTGTTGCGAAGTTATTCCTGCAGAACTTCATCTTGAGTGGAAAACTGACTTTTGAGTTCTCACATTTTTTATGTAGATTTCAGGTAACTTTGTAAGGATAAGTGTTATATACACAGTGTATATCTGCTTTGTGTAATTGCACAACTTATGAATAAGGTAGTTAAGTACAATATTATTTGTAGTGCATAATTTTAGTGAGAAATATGACTGTTTTCAGTGTTGTATACTTAGTATAGAGTGAATTAAGATTTGCTATATATTTGTTATAGTTGCCTTCTGTGGACTGCAATTTTTTGAAGGCAATCTAATAACATCACTATTTTTAGCTATAGTAGCTGTATATTGCTTTTATAACCCAGTCAAGCAATTCTAGGTACTAATTCAGACCCTGCCGCACATGCTTCATGGAGAGTGCTTTTTCAGTAGGGAGTTCACCAGCAAAGCAAACCGTTGTTTGCTTAAGTTGGCTGTGTGTCCTACCAGCTTAAAGCAAAGGTAGAGAAACTTGCTTTGGTCCCTGCTTTACCTGTATAGACCTAACCCATATTCCTGAGGAACATGTGCACCTGCCGTGCTCTTCTCAACAGGCAGCTCTGTGGTAGGAACAAAAATAAAGAGAATGCAGGCAAAAACAGCTGGATTGCTTGGTTCTGGTTTTGGGCATATCTTGTAGAAATTCATCATTTGTCATTGTAATTTTACCATGGAATCCCAGACTGGTTTGGATTGGAAGGGCCCTTAAAACTCATCCAGTTCCAACCCCCCCGTCACGGGCAGGGACACCTTCCACTAGACCAGGTTGCTTGAAGCCCTGTCCAACCTGGTCTTGAACACTGCCAAGGATGGGACAAGCACAGCTTCTCTGAGCAACCTGTGCCAGTGCCTCAGCACCCTCACAGGGAAGAACTTCTGCCTAATGTCTGATCTAAATCTCCCCTCTATCAGCTTAAAACCATTCCCTCTTGTCCTGTCACTACAGGTCTTTGTAACAAGTCTCACTCCAGCATTCTTGTAAGCCCTGTTTAGGTATTGGAAGGCTCTGCATCTTACATATAGCTTTTTAAAAACAAGCTCAAGATTCCCAGGAATTTTTGTGTAGTGAGGAAAGTATTAGGTTCTGATTTTGCTTTAGAACCAGCAAAATTTAAGGTTTTGACACCGACTCAAATGGTGGTTTTATAAATCAGCCAGGGAGCATGGTTTAGATGACCTAAGTATACGGGCAAGCTAGTTGGGTGATTGTTCCCAGGAAGCAGTTATCAGTGCTCACTGTCAAAATGGACCTTGGCAGGTCAATATGTGGAAAGCATATGATACAACTATGCTGGGAGACCTGCTGAATTAAAAATAATCTTGAATTGAACAAATGAGTTTTCAGTTTGGGTTAGAATTCAGAGGGGAAAATGTAATGTTACAATGTTTAAGAAGACATTTTCAGCCTCAGAAGTGGAGCCCCCTGGGAAGCCGTTCTGAAGAACTGTTCTATGGCGCATGGTAGTCATACGCTGAGTAGGAGTCAGTATTGTGTGGTTGCAAATAATAAATCAGTGTTGTTGATATTGCGCAAAGAGACGGTTGTCATGCATTTAACACTACTGTAACCTGCACGAACCATGAAAGAAGCATTCAGCTCTCTTCATTGGTTATTATGGCCTTAAACACAGCAGTGCCCCCATGTACCACTGTTGTGGTAGTTAGAGAAATAGTGAGCAACTGAAGACACACCAGAGGATAACAAGAGCAATCAGACATCCAGGAAATAGGACTTCAGAAGACAAATTGAAAGGACTGACCCTACAGAAAGAGAAGACATAGCAAGGAGAATCAGAATTGTTCAGGTATGTAAGAAGCTGCAAGAAGATGTGGTATTGTTTTGTTGTTCATGTCCACTTAAGGTGGAGCAAGAAGTAATGAATTTAAATTTCTGAAGGCAAGATTCATATTAGATGCTGTGGAAATACTTTGTAGTGTTAGTGAAGCACTGACGTGGATTGGTACAAAGGGTAAGGAGCCTACATCATGCATAACTCACAGAACAGGTTAAACCTGCAAAACTAACCCAGGTGAAATTGCTCCTTGCTTGGGACAGTAGGGTGACCTTCAAGAGCCTCTCCTACTCTGTGTTCCTGTGATTTGAAGACTGAGCTATTTATGATGAAATTTTAATTCAAGAAAGCATGGCTTAGGATTTTTTTTTGCTGTATCTGTAGAAAATTTAACATTTTTTGAAACTTATCACCAGGATTAAGAAGTTCACAATGGAAACAGAAAAACACGAAGGGCTTGCCTGATTTCATCAGAGTTCACTGACTAGGGAAATGGAGGGCAAAAGAGTGTGACAGCCAGTGTAATTGTTTCCTTAGGAAATAAAAAGGGGAAATAAAGTAGTATCTTAAGTTGCTTTTGTAGCTTCTGTAGTGAAAGAACTTACAGCTCTGAGAGAGAGTTGAGTGATTGAGTGATGGTTGAATGTCTGAGTGGTAGCTCAGCGATACCCTGTGAAGAGGTACTCCAGACCCTCTTATTTGAGGGATTGAGTCTGGTATTACAGAAACAGTGGGAGGTGAGTTGTACTTCCTGGTAGGTGAGAGGACAGAACCCCAGATTCCTGAGGAGGACATGAGAACAAGGCTTTTTCTGTGAGTGAGCCCAGCTAAGGAAGACACACTTTTCCTAAGCCTGCCTCGTCAGAGCCAGTATGTCTTGAGGAAGAATGAGAAAAAATAGAGCAGGTTTGTCTTTAGAAATTTAGCAGAGAGCTATAGCTTTTTTTATAGTGCCACATGTTTTTTATCTAGTGTAGTGGCCTTTACCCCCCCAGGGCAGGCAGTATCAAGAAAACTTCAGGCTTTCATGAACACACTTGGATTCGGACTACAAAAAAGGTGGTGCAGCCTGGACTGTAGTAGCAGTGGATGAGGGTTTTAATTCATTTACTGTTTTTTAGCGGAACAGAGCTTGTTAGTTCAGAGCTATCTGCCAGGATGTGCAAGAAGATGACTTCTCTTGATCAAAGTATTGGTAACAAATGGAGTTTTCCAAGGTTTCTTAATTTCAGAAATGCAAATGCTGAGTTTTGTTTTCTGCCTTTCATTTCATCTTTCAAAAACCTTTGAATTCTCAGGTGTTTTGTGCTTATACGGGTGAGAAACAGGTTGGAAATCAGGGGAAAAAGAGTGCATTTTATGTTAAGTTTTCCAGCTCTGTTGTAAACTGAAAGACTGCAGTAAAAATGCACTCCTGTTAATAAAAGTGCTAAAGGAAATACGGGGGAATTAAAACTGGAAAAAAGTTTGTGTATTTCCTCATCTTCTGTGAGGTTTTGCAGCAGCCACAGTACTGCAAAATGTGCAGAATGAATCTTGGTTTAGCTACATGGAGTTTGTGCGTTGTCTTAGAAGTGGTAGTAATGACAGAGAGGTACATGCTGCCTTCCCAAACAAAAGGGAAGCATGAATGGGCACAGGATGTTTACTTGGATACTTGTCTTTGTACTAAACAGAGTTGTGGTTTTTTGGGTTTTATCTGTATAGTAAATGAAGATTTTTGATCAAGAAGCTTGTGGGACAAAAATGTCTTAGTAAATACAAAATGTAAGCTGTCCTTAGCAAACATTTTAAAGCACAATTTTAAATACATTTTTTAAAAATATTATATTTGCTGTTATTTGCCGGGATTGGCTTCAGACTTCCCCAAGTTGAGAAACTGTCAGTAACAAAAAGCTGCTTCAAATCCGTAGAAAATGCTATGGCTTGCTGCAGTGCTGTTGTCCTCTTGTCTTGCTCTGCTGTCGCATGGTCTGCTCTCAGAGCTGTTAGCATTGTCTTTAGAAATGCTGTGTAATACATTTTAATGGCTTTTTATTTTTTAAATGATTAATACTGAAATGCTTTTTTGCTAAATCATAGTTAGCGTTTTAGTAGCTGTCAATATCAGATTATCACTGCTGGTTAACTGTTAGCAGAAATGAGTCTGTCACTTTGCCCATGTGGGCTAATACGTTATCAGTAATTCTGCTGGAATCTAGTTTGTCTTGTAGGTACCACTTCTTTAATGAGCAGGACTGTGTCTTCCCTTGGAGGTGTTTTGGTCATGAGATCACTCTTGCAAACTGCAGGGCACTACTGCACAGTAAAAATGAATAGTATTCTGCCCACTTTCAGTAATATGTGGGAAAGGGTGCAATTTGATCATCTGGTACACCAGTTTGAGTCATACCTCCTTGTTAGCTTCATTATGTTGCTATTTTAAGGTGACTCTTCAGTGGGTAGATGGGTTTTGCACAGGCTTATTGTTACTCAAGCCATTAAGAACTCTGTTAAAGGAAAAGGAGGTAGTAGGAAACCACTGAAAAGTGGGTTGTGGTGTTTTGGTTTTTTGAGTGTTTTGTTTGTTTAGGGAAATGCCCCCCCCCCCCCCCCCCATGAAAAATTCTGCTATGTAAGATGGTACTTGGAACTGCAGGTCAGCATTTGCATGACTTATGGAAGGCTGACTGACACCGATTGTTTGTTAACTTTATTAGTGGCAGTGTTCTTTTTTTAAAGAACCTGTTGTGTAAGATTTGTTTGCCAGGGAATTTACATAACATCACTGTTTAGAAATGAATTCTGGCAATTTTATGTGTGCACTTTGTCCAGCTTGATTGTGTGCCCCCATTATGAGAATGGTATAGGACAGATCAACCTAACACTTCATCTCTGCCTGATGCTCCTGTTTGTAAGTAACCAGTTTCATTAAACTCGTCACCTGTTTCAGAGACAAGGAATTCTGAAGTGAGACCTCCCCAAAAAGTCCTATTTCTTCCAACTGCCTGAACAGTAAGGCAGATTTCCTTTAGGTAAGGCTATTTCCTACTGAGATAGACAGCTGTCCTGCCTGGTAATGTTAAGGAAGTCAAGATGTTTGAGCTGTATTTCTTGGGACAAAAAGCTTGCAAGCTGAAGACTTCATTGTATATGCAATATAAATTGTTCTAAGAAATGGATTTAGAAAACACATCACTACCAAGAAGTTATTAGTTGACAACTGTGATGATTTCACTTTGTCTTTGATTATTGCGTAGTCTCTTAGTCTCTAGGTTTTTAGTTTGTTCTTAGTGTGGTCTAAAGTAGGAGAGTTAAACAGTTCTGCATGGGAAAGTAGGAAAAAACCTTGCAAAAAGAGATGGTGGTGTCTCCTTCTGTGGAAAAGACACATCCATATGCTAATACTGTTCTGCAGGCTTTGCAACAGAGATTTAGTATATTGCTTTACACACTTTGGTAACTGCAGGCTGACCCTGGCTGTATTTGTTAAACTGTGGTGGTCGTACTTCCTTCTCCAGTTAAGACAGTTTTAGCTCTTCGGAAGAAAACCCTCAAGAAGTGAACTTTAAAGCAAAGTGAGTTTGGCATCTGCACTGAGCATTTAATAGTGCAAAAATCCTCCACAACTTGGGTTTTATTTAAGCAGTTGAAACCATCCTTTCCCATTTCTGAGAAAGACTGAGCTAGATTATTTTTTTAACAAAATAAGAGTTCAGTTAAGCAGATGTTACTATTTATCTTTACTGTTTAACACTGTAAATTATACTAGGAATGTTGTGTGCTACCACTTAAAAAACCTAAATAATTTGTTTATTTTGAGCATTATTCCCAGGCAGGGGAAACTTTAACCTCTGTACCTTAAATATTCTTTGAAATGTAATTGGCTTGAGATTCGCAATGAGTCCTAGTTTCTTCTTCCACTGAGAACTCCATTCTTTGCACACAGAAATATTCAGATCACTAGTTTTCTTACAAATATTTCTAACCTTGTAGCCAGGAAAGTTGGAGGTTTCTTTTTTTATTATTTTATCATTTCCTGGCTGCTTTTTTAATAAGGCAGACTCCTTTCAGAGGTCAGTCAAAATATTAAAAATGTTTAATTTCATGCCTTGTACAAAGAAGGGAAGTGATTGAACCAGAATGGAATGTCAAAAGGAGTCCGGATGCAATGGAAAATAGCATTGCCACCACTGGTTCTTCTGAAGTAGATAGTTAATGCATATAACTGTTCGTGTGAATACAGAGTCTTGCCAGAAAGATCATTGTGTCGGAATATTTTTATTCCAGAAGAATGTAGCTGAAAGTAAGCCTGATGATTTATTTGCTCCAAGGCATAATGGCTTTGTACATTCTCTATGTATTTTATGATTTATTCCTAAAATGGAGTTTGAGTCTTCTTTTAATCAGTCAAAGTCAAATACACATTTTAAACCACTGTGTGTGACAAAATCCAAAAAAGAAAAAACCCACTCTGAATAGCTATTAAATACTTTCTGCAGTAATTTGGAAAATACTTGCTTCTTTGCTGCATTGTAGCTGTGCTTTGTGGTAAGCTTTGGTTTGCTTAGAAGAACGTGACCCTGAGGGTAGATGAAGCGCTCCTGTTTGTGCTGCTTTGCTTTCCAGGTTGTCTTGCTGGATGGCTGCACTCCTGTCTGGTCTTCCATGTGTTGTGGCTGTTCTTAAATACTCAAGTTGTGTGATCTGATTTGTTTGTAGTAACTGAGGCATGTGTTTGTCTTTGGTCATAATTCTGATTAGCACTGGTATGACAGAGGGAGATAAATGGGGATGGAAACGTGCAGGGAACAGCAGTCTGGGATGCAGAGGTGGGACCCTGTTCCCCAGCACAATGCCGGTGCTGCCCTCAGCCCAGTGAGTATGGGAACTCATCAGCAGCCCTTCGCCTCCCTGCTTTTCCTCGGGCTTTCCAAGTGAGCACTCCATGACCCATTTCAGTGAAGTATTCTGAAGAGAAGATTTGTGCCAGCGTTAGCAGTTCCTGTCAGACAATACGAGTGACAGGCCTGCAACTTTGTGCATTCTGCAGTCACTGTTACATTCTAAAAATGGCACTGTGTTGTCACTGCATTATGTTGCAAAATGTTTTCATGCTAATTGCTGGTTATTGCTCTGCTTGGAAGATAAACTCATGGATTAAACTTCTCTGATTTTAATGATACTGTTTTAAAATTATTCAGGCTTTTGTTTTTCTTTGTTTTTTTTTTTTTTAGCATAAATTCAGTAAGGTCTATGTGCAAGTGGGTTTTGCTGTTGACTTTGTCCTTGTGATAATGTGCTACTCCCCTTTTTGTATTGTTTCATGTGCTCAGTATTGCTAAGTAACTGAACAAGTTTTTCATTCTTCAAATAACTAACTTGAGTGCAGAAAAATGACATGGGATCAGTGTGATCACCCTTGAATTCATAGAAACCAGTGTTTGCTTGCTGATTACCTTATTCTAAGTAAACAGTTAAATATCAAGTATTACTTACGGCCTGAAATGTTATTTTAAAAGATCTGAGTACCCCAGACACTGAACAAAGGAAGAAGAGAAACTTCCGTGAAATCCTCTACTTTCTTGAAAAGGGTTTGTTTCTTCTCTCACAGGTGCTTGGGCGATGTTTCTTGACGGTGATGCAGGTCCACTTTCAGTTCCTGTCACAAGCTTTGCAGAAGGTCCAGCCAGTGGCACACTCTTGCTTTGCTGAAGCTGTAGCCCAGGAGAGAAGGAATGTTAGTGGGGCTGGAACCTCAAATATAAGCCCCACAAATGAGCTAGAAGATGCAGTAAGATCATGGAGAGGAGCAGCAGAGGTATGGAGGTCTTGCTGTAGTTACATTATATTTAGTGAAATGGCAGTTACTTTTAGTGAAACCTAAATTTAGGCTGAATGCCCTAATAAAGGAAGGAAGTCTCTGATTTTTAAGACATGCTACATTTGAAGTGGGGAGCATGTTGCAGTTAGTTTTACCTATATGCTGATTACACCCATATGCTATTTTACCTACATGCTGATATATTTCTGCCCTGTTTAAAGTTTTCTTTGTGATATATAGGGAATATATAAGGAGTACACAGTGGAAGCAGCTTTTTGTTAGTAATGAATTAACAGCATTCAAGTGTGGTTTGGTAGAAGTGGTAAAATGTTTGAAAAAACAGCAGAAAAACCTAATGAAAAATAGTTTAGATTATGTCTAAACCTTTTCTGCTTTCCATTGCACTTTTGAAGTCCGCAGACTGATAGATCAGAATGGCTTCAGACACTTCATGCACATTTTCCTTAAATTCAGGTAACTTGGAGAATGTGCTTTTGAAGCCCAATTTGGCAGCACAGACAGGCTTTTTATAGTCATCTTGACTGGAAATCTTGTCAGGGTTGCCATTTATCAACCTGGAATGTGCAAGGTATATGAAAGCAAATAAGTTTCTTTTAGAACTATGCAGAGGAATTATTTGTAATTTTTACTGCAACATAAATTTATTTCATTGGATAAAATAAGGATTTGGGGGTGCTTTAGGTGTAATACAGATAACTGTAACAGGTCTAATCCTGGTATAGCTGTACTTCTTTTGCATTAAAAATAGTTATTTTTATGTTTAATGTACTTAGTTCCTTAAAACTCTTACAATTTGTAGAAATGCCCTGCCATTGCTATCAAGTTAATTTAAAAATGTGGTTGAAGTTAAACTTGGGTCTGCAGAATCTGAGTCCTTAACTTTCCCTTGTACCTCCTTGACAGCCCTCTTCAGCTATTTCTGTTAATAAAACCTGTATTCGAAATAGAGTTTAATGCAAGTATTACACTAATCAAATCCTTCATTAAACATGCATGGAGAGAAGAGAAAAATACAGGTTCTTCCTAGTTCCTAGAATAAAAATAGAAGAAACTTCTTAATTTTTATGGTTGCCTAAAATAACTACTCTGAAGTATTTGTGGGGGGGGTTAGGATAGCATAAGAAAAATCTGCGCTCTCTTATAATTTAGACAGGCTAATATACAAGTCATTTTGATAGAGGGGAGAGTTGAAATACTGAGATCTTTCCAAATTTTAACCTTACGGAGAAAGGCAATCCATTATTTCCATATAAAGCCAGCTTCCTTGACAGGGAATACACTGCTATTTCAGAATAAAGTTTAAGATAAAAAGTTTTGTCAGTAGCTCAAAACTGTTTTCCCTTTTTAAGATTTTTTGGCTTGGAAAATGCTGTAATTCTGTATGTGTCAATGAGGTGAGCAATACCCATTGGCTGTAGCACCAAAAATCCCCAATTTCAGCATCCTGCTTTAGAGCAAGACTCGTTTGTAGTCTGAAAAATAAGCTTTTTCCAAGGCCTTAAATGCAGTTGTGAGCAGTTTTTTTTGTTTTACCCTGCTCAGTCGTGTATTATTTTACAGTTAAAACTAGATATGTGGCTTTTCGTATTTTTTTATTTTTAAAAGTCATACTACATAAAACTGTTCTGCTGTGCTAAGTTGGTCTTACTCTTGTGTGGCTCTTCTCAAGTCACACCACAGTAATCAACCTCAATTTTATAAAATACATCCTGTGTACACAGGAGTGTTTGTCCATATGGTTAAATGCGTTTTCTGTGGCAAGTAATACCCTTTATGTTGAAGTTGTATCTCCTCCAGTAATGACAGTCATCATGTGGCCTGTGTAACAGGATCCTTAGTCCTGAAAGGGAGCTGAAATAGTAACAGCAAACAATGAATTAAGTTGCTAGCCAGCACCTATATGCCATACAATTTATGTGAGATTTGTACTTTCGAGGCAGCAGTAGAGATTTAATGAGCTATAATAAATAATCTCCTCTGGATCCTTCCCACCAGGTGCTGCTTCTCAACTCCTTTATAAAGTTTTAAACTCTGTGGGGTTTTGTTTGTTTGCTTTTTTTTTTTTTTTTTTTTGCTCTTCTTTAAAATTTAATTAAGCTTGACCTGGTTTAATGTTGAACCTCTTTACCGTGGATTTTTATTTTGCATTACAGGCCACATCTCGACTCCGAGAAAGAGGCTGTGATGGATGTTTGGCAGGAATTGAAGTTCAGCAACTTTTCTGCTCACAGAGTGTGGCAATCCCTGAACATCAGCTCAAAGAGCTAAACATGAAAATTGACAGTGCTTTGCAGGTAGTTTTTAAAGACTGCAGCTTTCATGTGCATATAGTACAGTCTGTGGGCCAAGGAATGAAATAGGGAATTTTACTGTCTTACTGCAGAAATATGTACCAGAGGCAGCCATGAAGTATTTAAGAATTACAGTTTTGGAATCTTATATGGTAAATGTATGTATGCTGTAGAACTGAGTAGGGTGGCTCCATGTAACAATTCTTATGTATGTATCCGGATGTGATGACTGCTTGCTTACTTGCTGTTATGCCTGTGCTATCTCAACCTTTTGTTTAATGCCAGGCTTACAAAGTGGCTTTGGAGAGCTTAGGCCATTGTGAATATGCAATGAAGGCTGGCTTTCACTTGAACCCAAAAGCTATTGAAGCAAGTCTTCAGGTAAGATCTGCTAAACCTGGTCTTTCGTTTGTCCCTCCTCACCTTGAAAACAACTATTTCAAATGAATAAGTTGGACTCATGTTTTTTCTAATGTCTTAATTTCTTCTAATGGACCTGTTTTGTACTCCAGGGCTGTTGCAGTGAAGCTGAAGCCCAGCAAACAGGAAGGAGACAGACTCCACCTCAGCCCATTCAGTGTGAACTGCCCACTGTACCTGTTCAGATAGGATCACATTTTCTGAAAGGAATATCCTTTAATGAGTCTGCAGCAGAAAACCTGAAGCTGAAAACGGTAATAACGGAGTAAACAGTATAAAAAAGAAAAGTGAATTCCTTAATCTTCAGAGAGCAACTGCAGTAGAAGTTCAGTGCCAAACTTGTATTTAAAAGTGCATATTTTTAGCCTGACTTCCTGTAGAAACAAGATCTTGATAACATTGTAGGTCCACGCCTGCTTCTGATGACATTTAATCACCTGGAAAAATTCGGTTCTATCTGAGAGGAGCAGAGAAATCTAGGAGACACTGAAGCCTTGGGAAGATAGATGGGTTAGGCATCAAGAAGTGGAGGGGAATGTGAGCCCTTGCAAGTGGCTCAACCAGGTGGTGCACTTGACAGCACTTATCTTCTTAGGTGCCAAAATGAGTCTGGCCCAGCCTAGTGCTAAGGGAGAGACTTAAAGCATTTGTACCAAAGCTCCTCTTAATGTCTTCTTACAAACTTTAACCAATTGCTAAAAGTAATTGAAAATTGTGGAGAAGTTAACTGTGTTTTCAGTGTGAAGGAATGGAAAAGATACCATTCAGGAGTAATTTGGGCAATTTGAATGAGCATTTTCACCTTTTCATTTTTTATTTTTTATTTTTTTTTTAGGATAAGCCCAGTTCCTAGTTCCTGAAAGAGTTGGAACAATCCATGCTTAAAATGCTGCTTTTCTGTTGTCTTTGCAGTGCTTCTTAATTAAACTGTTCTGCAAGCTAAGCAAAAAAACCTGTTTTAATATTTTGGAGGAGTGTTGTGTTCCCAATAGCAGAGATGATCTTGTATATTTCTGTTCTGCAGTTGAGCTTTTCTAGTTGTACAAGACTGCTCAGAAGTAACAGATGTTACAGTTGTGTGAAAAGCATGTAGAATAATGCTAAATGCATGTGGAAGCATTGGTGTTAACATTTCTGAATTGTGTATTTAATATGACAAAATGTTTATTTTTTCAGCACACAATGCTGCAGTTGATTAAGGAAGCTGGATGCCATAATGGACTTACACCACGGGATGACTCTCCTGTTACTGAAGTACTAAATCAGGTTTGCCCTTCCACTTGGCGAGGAGCCTGCAAAACTGCTGTACAATTGTTGTTTGGCCAAGCTGGACTGGTAAGTGACTATGAATAGGCTTAGCAAAAAAAGAGCTACATCCTGAAGAGAAACTGGGTATTTTAAAGAGCTTGGAAATTAATTTCCAGGGTCTTACTTTGTGCTTCCCCATTTTTAATGCTGCAGCTAACTTGATTTATGAGCAAAGTGTATCCCTGTAGAATGCAAGTTCATCTGTAGCTGATAGGAACAGGAGAATGTACTGTGTACTTTGTACTCTCTGTTACTGGACAGAACACAAAATGAAACTTCTAATTCATAGTGAAAGATTTTCAAATCTATGGATGACCATGTTAAAAAGAAACACCCTTCCTCTCCCTTTCCCTCCCCGCTTTTCTCAGATTAGCTTTAAAAACTGTAGTTTTTTTTCATTTCCTCTCTGCTTTGAATGGAAGCTGGGTTTCCTGCCTGGCATAAACCAGGAAGTCCTCTGCCCTGCGTAATGCTACCTCACATATCCAAAAGAGCCCAGAGCAGCTAAACACCTTGCTGATGACATACGTGTTTAGAAACAAAACCCTTGGATTTCAGAGTGTTTAAACAGTTGCTCAAGATAGGTGCTTGGAACATACTCTGTAAGAAAATGCATTTGTGCTCCCCTAACTAATTACTGAAATCTCTGCATTTAATAAAGTGTCATTCATGACACAGATTTTTTTGGACTAATGTGAGTTTTCATTTGACTGGACAAAATGGGGGCACGAATGCAATCTGATAGGAAGAAAATGCAAAGTACACCACAGCCTATGACAGTTTCTGTCAAATATTCTTTGAACCATCTTTAACCTACAATAACCTAAATGCTTCTTGTTGATTCATATATGAATGTTAAGATGATGGCAAGGCATCAGGACTTTGTAATTAATTGTCATTTCTGATGAAAGGATCCATATTGCTACATACCTAGTAAATATCACATTTTCCAAACAAATCACACAGCTGATTATGTGACTTTGACCTTCTATCTTCGTTCATTAAGCCATACGTGTTTTGGTACTATTGACAAGGTCTTTGATAATGGTGAATGATAAATTGGAAGTTATGAATTTGTGAGGTGTTTCTACTTTAGCATTCCTTTGATACTAGATATTATCTGTTAGAGGAGTAGGTTCAAATCATAGTGGAATTCAAGTGTCTTTTCATGTAAAGAAGGCCTAAAATCAAAGGCACAGACAACCAGTATCCAACAGCAGTGCATCTGCTGTCAGTCCTGACTTCACTATGATACAGGGATTCAAGGACAGGAGATAGTAGTGCATTAATCACTCTGTGTAAGGAAGCTTTATAGGGAGGCGTAACAAGGTGGTATCTTTGCAGGGAAAGAAAACAATTGTGGAATAGTAGGATTGATCAAATTTCTACTGAGGTGTTTTCAAGGAAAGCGTATTAAATATTAGTACAAGAACTAAAAAGAAGGCTATGGTTAAGTGGGTTTGTATCTTCACCTACCATTGTTTATGCTAGGATGCTGGGAGCCAGCAGCAAGGGATGGGAAATGAGGTTAAGAAAGGAACTGCTGCTCAGCAGCCCTGTGGGAGCGTGCTGTAACTCAAGAGTTCTTGGCTCCTAAGTGTCTAGATGAGGAATGCCTTGGAGGATGCTGCACCTCCCGTCATTTCCTTTCCAGGGGGTTTCAGTGTTGTGCACACCCAGGTTCTGCCCTGATGAGATCTGGGGAGTGGCCTGAGGCACATTTGGACTCAGGATTCTGAAAATGTCTTGATGTCCCTCAGTCTAGACATAACTAGTTAGACCTGCTGGTAATTAAAGCAGTGATATTCTTCAGCTTTATCATAACATTTAGAGAGTTGTCAGCATAAAACTTACTTACACATTCTCCCAAATGACAGTGCTGATATGGAATATTATTTGTGTTGAATCATGCATGTGTCCAAAGCTTTTTGCATGAACCTCAGGTTCTGAAAGTAGCAGGTTTCTATCTTCAAAGACAGCAGTGAGCTATCTGCATGACGAAATAACTTGACAGCCTTCTCTCTTTCCTTCATTCTCACTTTGATTTGTTACAGTCTGGAAGGGTGTGAGAGTTGAGGTTTTTCTTTATAAACTGTGTGCTGGAATTTTTTATGAGGTTCAGCTATGGTTCTATGTAGCCTCATGCAATGGTGAGAAAGTGTGATTTGCTTCTCTAAAGCATTCTTTAGGTGGAAATGAGAGAGGAAGCACCTGTAAATGAAGAACAATAGATGTCTGATGCACAGGAAGCTATCTTCTAAGCACCCACCAGGCAGGGAGGGAGAATGTGTTTATTTTAAGTTTATTTTGTGTAGAACTCGGGTAAGTGAATCATGAGACAAGAGTTATGTAGCCTTTGCTTTGAAGCTTTTAGAAACTAAGCTGTCTGCACTAGTTCAGAATTGTGTATAAATTTGTCATTCAAATGCCAAATTTAAAAGAGAACATTACTTGACAGTCTTTAGTCTATCTTTAATCTATCTTGCCATGTGCCTTTTAAGAACAAACTCATTAAGAGTGGAAAGCACAATGAGATGTGACTTAGTTTGCATGGTTATTTTAGGCTTCTGTTTTTTAACATAAATAAATTTTTTTAAGTGCAGTTTTTACCTTAGCAATATATCAGATTTGGGTCAGCTGAAGAAACCTCCATGTTTTAATAAATGATGTGTATTAAAATAGTTTAATTCAGAGGATGAGTAGAAATAACACTTTGAACTGGCATCATGCAGAGTCATGAAGAGAAGGTTTAATTGAGTCTCTAGCCTTCCTTTTTTGTGCTAGTACATCTTTCTGTGCAAAAAACATGCATTGCAAAGCCCTAAATGTTGTAATAATGTTTAAATCCCAGATGTTGTAACTCTGACCAAATGTTGAGAGATGTAAAGCTTTTAAAGGCAAAAACAGAATGGGGGGAGTGAGATGGGGTAGACAGACGATGACACCCCAGCAAAGCCCAGACCATGAGCACTGGCCAGGCACCAGAAGCTGATTTATGTCTGCTAAATCAGAACTTTAGTTCTGACATACAGGTCTGAGATGCAGACAGGATTTTTTCTTGGGAGTTAAGAACAATCACTCCTAAGGTAATCTCTTGTTACCCCAATTATAATTGCAATATAGCTGAATTGCAGATTACCGAATTGCCTAAAATTAAGATGGTACAAATACAGGGAGAAAAAGAAATGGAGTTGCCCTGTTATTAAATGAGGTATTTTCATGAGTGGGTAATAGCATGGCTCTTTGTCACTGTGCTTAGACATGTTTTACAAGTCTGAATAAACTTGCACAAATGCTCAGAGTCAACTGAAGGAAAATTAAGGCCTTATGCTAAAGTACCTTAAAGGTGGGAAGTAATTATGTTCAAGTGTCATTGGATGGCTCTGTCAAAGCAAGAAAAGAGACTCTAAGCATTATTCATACTTCACATTTCTTCATAACCAGTAGTAGACAACCACTTAGGAGCAGAACCAGTGTAGGATGATCACAGAAGAGCCAGTAATATCCCTTGAGGCTTATTTATACCAGAGGACGTTAGCCATTTCAAGGATAAATGGTACAGCTAATCTGCTAGTCACTGGAGCAAGAACTGCTGATGGCTGCCAAAAAGCTGCTGGTTCAGCGTGACCAAAATAGGAGATTATGGAAATGATCAGAAAGGCTGACCTGTGCAGACTGGACAAAAACAGAAAGCACAAACCAAATATGGAACTTACTATCACTGGCTTTAAAGTTTAAATGAAGCTGAAGTGAACCTGTTCCTCCTCCATTCCATAAAAAGAAAGGTTCGTGACAGCAGGTTGATTTTTCAAGACTTTTATCTTCCATATATCTTCATTATGTCGTACAGAAGGCTCAGAATTTCACAAATTGAACAGTCACTTTTCTTCCCTTTATGTAATAGGGAATTAATAATAATACAGTTCTATTAGATAGAATAGACAGATGTTGGTGTGGGATTTTATAACCTTAAAAGGGAAGAGGGGCTCTTAAAAATTGTGAGCTATGTGAAGAATTTCAGAGTCTATACTACTTGTCTGTATCATAACATGCGCTGCAGTTTAATTATTTAAAATATTTTGATAAATAGGTGTTGGGGAGTTGTTAAAGTACTCATAGTGCCAAACCTCTCAAATACAGGGGCTGTTGCATGAAGCCACTGATGGCTACCAGCTGTTTAGGTAAAGTAGTTGGTAACTACATTGTGATGCATAACTATAGTTATGCATCCTGAAATATATATATATATATATATAGTTATGCAATATATATATACACTATAAATATACTATATACGATATATATACTATATACGATATATATACTATATACTATATACTATATATATACTATATACTATATACTATATAATATATATATAGTTATGCAATATATATATAGTTATGCAAACCTGAAATAAAGGTTACTGTATCAAACTTTTTCTAATTTACTTTTTAAAATAGAAATAGACTTACAATAATTATGTGATTTGTTTTTATCTGGTTATGTTTTACACCTGCAGCATGGCACATAGCTGAAACTATTGCATCATGACTACAGTGGTGATAAAGTATCTTGAACTAATTTTTAAAATCATTTCTATTTTCATTTTATTTGCTAGGTGGTTGTGGACACAGCTCAGATTGAAAATAAAGAAGCTTATGCTCCTCAGATAAGTTTAGAAGGATCCAGAATTGTGGTGCAAGTTCCATCAACTTGGTAAATAAAAATACTGTATTGCAGATTATACTGTTAGCTATGACTGAAATATGTAGGGGGAAACACAGCAGTACAAGTGGAAGAGAGAATACTAGGCAATTATAGCATATCTTCCTGAAGTTCCTTTATCTGGAACTGAGTACAGTTCCTGACAGACTGACAGTTGTACTTTTGATGTCTTTCTACTTGTGCTGCCTCCGGAGGCAATGAACAGGGGCAGTGCTGGGGCAGTCAGATGTTCTTATGAAGACGTGAAAGCTTGATGATGAAGGTTTAAAAAATAAAAAATAATAGTCCAGTAGTATTCCTGTTATGCTTCTTCCCTGCAGGTCCTCACAGCTCTTGCCTCAGAAAGACCAGGAATTAGATGAGTTTAATGTGAGAGCTTTAGCTCTTTCTTCACTGGGCTGTTCTTTAAGCACTGTCATGAACCACAGAACTCTGTGGTCCGAGAGACTCTATCCCTGCCAGTTTAGCTGACTGCCTAGGGAAGAACTGTAGGATTAATCTGCAGTTTAGGTTAGGATTTCTTCCCTTTTGAAACAATGATTTGGATTTAGAACACTTCCTTTCTCTCTTACTTCAGAGTTCCCTGTGTTAGGAATTTCAGTACAACACAGTTCATTCATCTGAATCCTTAGTGAGAGCCTGTTACTAGTGGTACCAATGGTATGTCCAGAAGTGCGAATCAACTGATAGTCTGTTTATACAAATACATCTTTAATTCCTCTATAGACTGGCACTTCTTTGTTCTCCTCATGTAAATTGCTGTACTATTAAAGGACTAAGATCATGTGGAGTGCTTGAGCAAGGCTTTGTGTGTTCTGGAAGAGCTCCTCCTGCTGACGCACGGTGAGAGTGGCTCTGCACTTCTCTGTGCCTGAATTATGCTTGCTTAGCTAAAGAGCTAATCATTAATCATGATTTTAAAATAAGTTATGCAACTCTTATAGTTAGATTAGCTGTATCTTCAACAGTAGAAAGAAACCAAGGGTGCAGGCATAGTCTTTAGGAACTATCAGGCATCCATACATTGTGCTGCTTTTATTAGCTGCAACTCTGTAGCGCAGCAATTGGCCGTTTGGTATCTGACTAGTATGGTAAAATTGTCTAATGTAAAAAAAAAAAACCCAAAAATTTTAATTTTTAAGTTAAACTTAATGATTACAGGTGTTTGAAAGAAGATCCAGCAACAATGTCTCTGCTACAGAGGAGTCTGGATCCAGAGAAGACTTTGGGGCTAGTAGATGTGCTCTACACTGCTGTGTTTGACATACACAGGTGGAAGGAAGGAAGGTATATCTCCTCCTGACCCTTTTGCTTTCATGTTCTAGTGTCCTAGTTTAAACAAAGCCATCATTGTTGAAAGATTTGTACTGATGTATTTAATACTGTTCATCAGGAGGGGAAAACAGTAGTCAAACTGAGTGCAGAAAATTGGTAATCTACATAAGTACCTTGAGGATACGTACAGAGATACAGCAGTCTTCTTGAAATGAAACCAGCAGCTAATCCAAGTGTACAAAAATATTTATTTCTGTCTTAACGAAAATACTTGATTCTTATTTAATTAGTCACCATTTACATATAGAAGCACAACTAAAATTTCTTAATGAAAGTAGTTAATGCTATTGCAAATACTAGTAATAATTTGCATTGTTACCATAAGAAATAATTGATGAACTCGGCAATCTTTGGGTTTGTTTCTTGCACTAGCTACACCCAAATACACATTTTCCTACGAAGTACTAACTCAGTTGTATGAGTGGTTTGATATACGTGTTTTTGATGCAGGGAGCAAGCTTTGCCTTGTATTCAGATCCAGCTACAGCGTGAAATCTCAGACTTTGGGAATCAAGTTGACATGCCATCCGGAAATGGAAGCAAATCTTCAGGTGGTCTGCAAAAGACGTTCTCAAAACTGACTTCACGGTTTACAAAAAAAACTTCCTGCACCAGTACAAGTAATACTGGAAGTTACTCAATCCCCAGTACGCCTTCCAAAAATGTCTTCGTAAGTTCCACCTCAGAGGAGAAAGCTAAAATGCCCACTAACATAGATGCAAGGTTACAAAGCATCTTGAACATCGGTAACTTTCCTAGGACTGCAGATCCACTGCAGTCAGTTCAAAGCACAGATAACCAGCTAGTGAATGGGTTTCTAGTTGAAAGACGGGACAGCTTCTTCAAGCCAGACGATGGCAAGGATGAGAAAGGCATGAATTTACCAACTGACCAAGAAATGCAGGATGTCATAGATTTCTTGTCTGGTTTTAACATGGGCAAATCCCAGCAGACTTCTCCAATGGTGAAAAGAAGGAATTCTGCTGCATCCGCTACAGCAGCAGAACAAAAATCAGTAACAGTACAACAGCAGCCACAATCTGTCTCTCACACACCACTGCATCCTTCCCAGCAAGGCTTGTCACAGCAGCAGCAGTCACAAAAGCAGCAGCAGCAGCAGCAAATGCAGTATTACCAACACCTGCTTCAACCTATTGGACCACAGCAACGTGTACCTGCCAAATGGCTAACTAATTCTTCACAGCAACCAGCCCAAGCTGTTGGAGCTGGATTGTCTCATCTAAACCAGTGGAACAATCCTGGTTTTTCAGATTTAAGCTCTGATTTGTACAGCTTGGGTCTTGTGAGCAGCTACATGGACAATATGATGTCAGAGATGTTAGGACAGAAACCACAAGGACCTAGAAACAACACGTGGCCAAATCGTGACCAAACTGATGGAGTGTTTGGGATGCTGGGAGAAATCCTGCCTTTTGACCCTGCAGGTACGTGCCTTTTCCTTTATGTATGTATGTATGTATATAGTTATTTATTTATTTTAAGGATTCTTTCACAAAGAATACTGTTAGATATTGCTAGCAATAACTTATTTCCTAGAGCTAGTCACGAAATGCAGAGGTGCTTATGAGGCCAGCAGGTATTTGTTTGTATGCATTCTTAAATGGACTAAAGTACAAGAAACTTTCATTGATAAGTAAGAATGGGAGCAAGTTCCTTGTTTCTTGTCCCAGCTGTAGTAGTTCTGACCTTTCCTGTATAGACCATATCAAAGTACTGAAACAGATACTTACAGATGATGTTCCTCCTACTGATAATTTGTGAAACTGTTTAAAAGTCAACTCTTGAACTTACATGTTTTACATCTCCCCAGAATGATCCTTAGTGGTCTTTACCAGTCCTGCAGTATGGAGATTAAACTGGATTGCATCTCTCACATATCCCAGCATTTCTCCTCCATTACTATGCAGTTCCATGGGAGTCCTACTGATTCCTGTTCCACAGCTGTGACTGCAGTGAGAAGCTTATATGCCAAGTGTTACAGACTTCGAAAGAGTAATTGCCCTGTGGTTTGCCAGATGTGCCTGAATCACCAATAAACTGTAAATCTAGAGGGATTACTGTTAAAAGATGAAGTGAAATAAAATTTTGTAGCCATAAGCAAATAGCTAAAGACTATGAAATTGACTGTAGAGCCTAACAGGAGATCAATGAATTCTTCTGATAGTAGTACTAAGAACAACTTAAAATCCACTGTCATAATTTCTGTTGGTGTGGAACGTCACTATAGAAACTACTATGCATTTAGGAAAACTGCCTGGAGGGAGGCAGTGCTCACACCAACAGGAAAACCTGTTCTCAAACCACAGAATACGCTTCCTGTGCCCCTTTGCATGTGCATGTGTGTGAGGACTGTGGAGGCATCTCAGAACTCAATTTTGATAGTTACTTTGTCAACTTAGTTGATAAATCAGTGGAGTTTCGTCGTGGTTTAAGCCCAGCCCGTGACTCAGAACCACGCAGGTGCTTGCTCACTCCCTCTCTACTTCCCCCTGGCTCCTGGAGGGATGGGGAGGAGAATCAAAAGAATGTAACTCCCAGGGGTTGAGATAATAAGAGTCCAGTAACTAAGGTGTAACACAAACCACTGCTGCTACCACCAATAATAATAATGGTAAAGGAAATAACAAGGAGGGAGAATATAAAACTAAAAAGGGAAGGGAAAAATGCCCCAACACAATAAACACAAGTGATGCACAATACAGTTGCTCACCACCTGCTGACCGATACCCATCCCAACCCGAGCAGCGATCTGGGCCTTCTGGGTGACCCCCCAGTTTCTATGCTGGGCATGATGTGCTGTGGTGTGGAATACCCCTTTGGTCAGTTTGGGTCAGGTGTCCTGTCTCTGCTTCCTCCCAGCTTCTTGTGCCCCTCCTCGCTGGTAGAGAATGAGACTGAAAAGTCCTTGATTGGGGTAAGCATCACTTAGCAACAACTAAGAACATTGGGGTTACCAGTGTTGTTCTCAGACTAAAGCTGAAACACAGCACTGCACCAGCTACTAAGAAAGAGAAAAATAACTGTTACAGCTGAAGCCAGGACAGTACCCACCCCTTATTCCACACCATTCATGTTATGCTCAGGTCACACATTTTTCAATATACTATCACTTTTTGTCTCTTTACATATATGTATATATAAATACACACACACACACACACACACACACACACACACAAAGAGACAGGTACACCTTAGTCCACGGACCATCCATATAAAGTTCTCTGAGATCATCCAGTCCATGTTAGGCTCCACTGTTTTAAGAGTCTTTCAGGGCAGGAGAGACAGTGTGCAGTGTTGGATTGTTGCATGCTGATGACACTGCTCAACTTGTCTGGTCTCATCAAAGTTCAGTCTTTAGGATGGCAATTGGAGGGAAGTCAAGGTCAGTTACTGGTGACGTGATGACAGTTCTGGGAGACTCCTGCTGCTGCTGCTGGCTTTTCCCATGACTTCATTCTCTGCTGATAATCATGGCACCACGTATCTTCTCAAAGCCCCAAGTGGCAGAGATGGGAATCTAACTGATGAGCTATAGAAGTTACATAGCAGGCAGCAGCATACAATTGAGTTCATTGGCTGTTTTCCCCCCAGATCAAATCCCCTTGAGGTACACATCGGACTTCCCCATTTTCCCACGTTACCCACCAAGTACATCCAGGTCCCTGAGCAAAAGCAATCCCACGAGTGGGTTTGCCTTCACCTGAAGCAGGAATAACCCAGACGTCTTCCCCAGCAAATTCTTCATGTGCACCACAGGAACTCTGTCCCCTTCTACAGTATGTAAAAGTTCTGACTGGGCTGGGCCAGCCCTGTTGGCAGATCCCCTGGTGTTGACCAAGCAGGTGGCATTTGGTAAATGTCTATCCCAGTGTTTGAAAGTCCCACCACCCATTGCTCCCAGTGTAGTTTTTAACAGCCCATTGTACCGTTCAATTTTCCCAGAGGCTGGTGCATGGTAGAGGATGTGATATACCCACTCAGTGCCATGCTCTTTGGCCCAAGTGTCTATGAGGTTGTTCTGGAAATGAGTCCCAGTGTCTGACTCAGTTCTCTCTGGGGTGCCATGTTGCCACAAAATGTGTTTCTGAAGGCCCAGGATAGTGTTCCGGGCAGTGGCGTGGGGCACAGTGTATGTTTCCACCCAGCCGGTGGTTGCTTCCATCATGGTAAGCATACGGCACTTTCCTGGGCGGGTTGGTGGCAGTGTGATACAGTCAGTCTGCCAGGCCTCCCTATGTTTGTACTTAGAATCATAGAATCATAGAATAGTTAGGGTTGGAAAGGACCTTAAGATCATCAGGTTCCAACCCCCCTGCCATGGGAAGGGACACCTCGCCCTAAACCATATTACGCAAGGCCTTGTCCAGCCTAGCCTTGAACATTGCCAGGGATGGAGCATTCACAACCTCCCTGGACAACCCATTCCAGTGCCTCACCACCCTAACAGGAAAGAGTTTCCTCCTTATATCCAATCTAAACTTCCCATGTTTAAGTTTTAACCCATTACCCCTTGTCCTGTCACTACAGTCCCTAATGAAGAGTCCCTGCCCAGGATCCCTATGTGCCCCCTTCAGATACTGGAAGGCTGCTATGAGGTCTCCACGCAGCCTTCTCTTCTCCAGGCTGAACAGCCCCAACTTTCTCAGCCGATCTTCATATGGGAGGTGCTCCAGTCCCCTGATCATTCTCGTGGCCTCCTCTGGACTTGTTCCAACAGTTCCATGTCCTTTTTATGTTGAGGACACCAGAACTGCACACAATACTCCAATTGAGGTCTCACGAGAGCAGAGTAGAGGGGCAGGATCACCTCCTTCGACCTGCTGGTCACGCTCCTTTTGATGCAGCCCAGGATACAGTTGGCTTTCTGGGCTGAGAGTGCACACTGAAGCCGGCTCATGTTCATTTTCTCATCGACCAACACCCCCAAGTCCTTCTCCTCAGGGCTGCTCTGAATCTCTTCTCTGCCCAGCCTGTAGCTGTGCCTGGGATTGATCCGACCCAGGTGTAGGACCTTGCACTTGGCATGGTTAAACTTCATGAGGTTGGCATCAGCCCACCTCACAAGCGTGTCAAGGTCCCTCTGGATGGCATTCCTTCCCTCCTGCATATCAACCTTCAGCCATCATCCTCCATACTGCAGAGGCTTTAACCACTTGGCTTGCTTAATTGCAGCGTGTTTCACGGTCATGAATAACGTGGGCAATAGTGTCCATTGGTAAGTCCACTCCTCCATCACGAGCCCATCTGTATGTTGCATCTCTGCCTTGATGGCCTGAAGTGTCATGGGCCCACAGGGCCAAAAAATAATCCACCTTTATGTTGCCAATCTAAGTCCATCTGAGCTGCTTCAATCTTAGCAGCTTTATCCCCTTGTTGGTTGTTCTGGTGTTCCTCAGTGGCCCAACTCTTGGGTACATGGGCAACTACATTGTATACCTTCACCACCAGGTTCTGCACCCGGGCAGTGATATCTTACCACAGTGCAGCAGGCCTGATGGGTTTACCTCTGCATTGCCCATTGCTCTGCTTCCATTGCTGCAACCACCCCCACAGGGCATTTGCCACCATCCATGAGTCAGTATACAGATAAAGTACTGTCCCCTTTTCTCGTTCAGCAGTGTCCAAGGCCAGCTGGATGGCTTTCACCTCGGCAAACTGACTCGATTCACCCTCTCCTACAGCAGTTTCTGCACCTTGTCACTGTCATACAGCTGCCTTCCATCTCCATCTCCAATGCTTCCCCACAATATGGCAGGACCCATCAGTAAACAAGGCATACTGCTTTTCACTTGCTGACAGTTTATTATATGGTGGGGCCTCTTCAGCACCCATCACCTCCTCCTCTGGTGACATTCCAAAATCTTTGCCCTCTGGCCAGTCCATGATGACTTCCACAATGCCTGGATGACTGGGATTTCCTGTTCGAGCTCGTTGTGTAATTAGTGCAGCCCACTTACTCCATGTAGCATCAGGTGCACGATGTGTAGAGGAGACCCTGCCTTTGAACATCCAGCCCAGCACGGGCAACCAGGGTGCCAGGAGGAGCTGTCCTTCAGTGCCAATCACTTCCAAATCAGCTGGAACCCCTTCATAGGCTGCCAGTACCTCTTTTTCGGTTGGGGTATAGTTGGCCTTAGATCCTCTGTATCCCCGACTCCAAAAGCTGAGGGGTCGACCTCGAGTCTCCCCTGGAGCTCTCTGAGAGAGGCTCCAGGTGGGACCATTCTCCCCAGCTGTGGTGTAGAGCACATTTGTCACATCTGGCCCGGTCTGAATTGGTCCAAGGGCCACTGCATGAACTATCTCTTGTTTAATTTGTTCAAAGGCTCGTTGTTGCTCAGAGCCCCATCTAAAATCACTTTTCTTCCGTGTCCCATGGTAGAGAGAGCTTACAATTGAACTGTAATTCGGGACGTGCATTCTCCAGAACCCCAGAGCACCCAAGAAAGCTTGTGTTTCTTTCTTATTAGTGGGTGGAGACATTGCTGTCACCTTGTTGATCACACCTGTGGGGATCTGGCGATGTCCATCTTGCCATTTCATTCCCCAAACGTGAACCTCCTGTGCAGGTCCCTTGACCTTACTCCGGTTTATGGCAAAACCAGCTTTCAGCAGGATTTGGATTATTTTCCTCCCTTTCTCAAAGACTTCTTCTGCTGTATCACCCCACACAATAATGTCATCAGTGTATTGCAGGTGTTCTGGAGCTTGCCCCTGTTCCAGTGCCATTTGGATCAGTCCATGGCAGATGGTAGGGCTGTGTTTCCACCCCTGGGGCAGTTGGCTCCAAGTGTACTGGATGCCTCTCCAAGTAAGAGTGAACTGTGCCTGCACTCTGCTGCCAAAGGAATTGACAAAAATGCATTGGCAATATCAGTCGTGGCATAGCACTTGGCTGCCTTTGACTCCAGTTCATACTGGAGTTCCAGCATGTCCGGTACAGCAGCACTCAATGGTGGTGTGACTTCTTTCAGGCCACGATAGTTTACTGTTAGTCTCCACCTTCCGTTAGACTTTCACACTGGCCATATGGGGTTATTGAAGGGTGAGCAGGTCCTGTTGATCGTTCCTTGGCTCTCCAGTCTATGGATCAGCTTATGGATGGGAATCAGGGAGTCTTGGCTGGTGCAATATTGCCACTGGTGCACTGTTGTGATTGTGATTGGCACTTGTTGTTCTTCAGCCTTCAGCAACCCAACAACAGAAGGATCCTCTTGAGAGATCAGGCAAGGTGGACAGCTGCTCAATTTCCTGTCTCCAAAGCAGCAACACCAAAACCGATTGATACCCTCTTGGGTCTTTGAAGTATGCTCTCCCAGTTAGCAACATCTAAAACATCAGTATGTTATTAGCATTGTTCTTAGACTAAAGCTGAAACACAGCACTTACCAGGTACTAAGGATTAAAAATAACTGTTCCAGCTGAACCCAGGACAAGTTTATAAAGCAAAAATAGGCAGTGTAGTTATGTTATCAAAAGCTTCTTAACAATTTCAAGTCTGAATTAGCGTCATCTTATTTAAATGTACTTAACGCTATATACTTTAGGAAGATTACAACACTTAAGGATAAAATTATTTTAACCAAGTGCATAGAAAGGACTGGCATTTCTAGCATTTTGAATCTGTTATATTTCTGTGAGATTTTTCTTTTGATTTTCTTAAAGCTACTTGTTCGATTGGATGGATATGGTGAATACCAAGGACTTTGAAAGTGTTAATTTGGAAGGCTGACTTACTCAAGTTGATAAATGGTGCTGTCGATTAAGACGTACGTTCCTACAGTAGAAGTGATAAGTTGACAGTATTTTCCACAGGTGTGGAGTTTAAAAAACCAAACAAAAACCTCCAATCACGTAGACTTTTCCATTGGAAATACAACTTTTCTGCATGTAACCTGCCAACTTCAGCTCTGATGTAGGTGTTTTCAGTTTAAGCTGTACTTAGTGCAGCACAGAAAGCTTTAAAAAACACAAAACACTTGTTCATTTCCAGACTTTCTTGGGACTTTGTACATTTCTCATTTGAAACAAATGGCACTACTTTTTTGATAAATACTTTTAGAGCCTGAAAATGATGTTTCTTTTCAGGTGCAGATCTGATAATAAACAATTTTAGAAATTGTAGAAAAAGTCGAAGGCTTTTGGCAGTGACCAGAAATGTTCTGCAGTGCTTTTATAATTTGTGGGAATATTTGGTTCTGACAGCTGTCAGATAGCTCTGTCCCTTGCTCACGTAACAAAGAATGCGTAGAAACAAAGTTATTTTCTTCACTGTCATTTGAATTTGCACCCAACAGAACACTGTGGGGCCGTTTTCTGAATATGCCAGGTGACAATGAGGAAACTTCTCTCCTGAATGCTGAATTCAGTGTAGAGAAGCCATCACATCAAAGACTGATTTTCTGCTTTGGGCTGTGCATGCTTGGTGAATGTTCTTCAGTCTCCACTCTTAATTTAAAACTGAGACCAGCAAGCCAACAGCTCTGCACTTCCTGCTGCAATTACTGTGCATGTAGTCTAGACATTTTCCATAGATCCAGTCAGATTGCAAAGTTTTATCTCAGGGGAGGAGTGGGGAGAAAGGCAAAAGGAAAAAGAAGCTGTGGAAACTCAATTACACTGACTCACAACAGCATTCTTTTTAATACAACAATTACTGGCTGTGATCAGTTGAGCATATAAACCACTTTGGCATTAAGGCTTTTGCTGTCTGCTCAAGATCATGCTGATCACTTGTCAGATGCTTGGGACACATAAAGCCTTTTAAGAATGGAAGAATTTTTAAGAATTACTGCTTTTTTCTCTGTATACATCAATGTTACTCTGAAATGTCTTGCAGGTCAGGATGAGAACAGCGTTCAGCTTGCTGTCTAATCCTTGTAGGAAGCAAGCAATTTGTGGGCTGTATGTTCTAATATGTTCAGGCTGAGATTCTGATTTCTCAGAGTAAGCAGGGTCACAGCATAGCTGGAAATCATGTTGCAGTCTGGAATCAACTACAGTAATTGATATATTCCTTCTCTCTGAGCTCGGGTGGATGTACAGGCTTTAATTACATCAGCATCTGGTGATGGGATGTTTCACCTTTCAGTGTATGGACATGATCATAGTGACAAATACTATTTCACTGATGGAAGGCAAGGGGCAGGTGTACTTTCATGTGAGATTATTCAAGTATGTATGGATGTGTCTTTGCTCCATAAAGAGATATCAACTCTTGTGTGGCATTTGTTATCTGTGAGGGAATTATTTTCTGTTGGTGGGATATGGTCAGGCCTAAAGGATTAAATGAGGGAGATAACTGCAGTAGAAATAGCTGAATGTCAGCAACCGATTTCTTGGTTTCTTTTGTTCAGTTGGCTCTGACCCAGAATTTGCCCGCTATGTTGCTGGGGTCAACCAGGCTATGCAACAGAAAAGGCAAGCACAGCATGTCCGTCGCCCAAGCAACACACGTAGCAACTGGCCTCTCCCTGATGATCCTCATAAAACCTGGCCATTTCCAGAGTATTTCACAGAAGGGTAAGATTTGGAAGGTTACGCATTTCTATTGTATGTGAGTCTGTTTTACTCACAAACTTGGCACAATGTGGGATTGTTGGGTGCTTTTTCCAGTTACTGCTGTATTTGTGAATGCTGCACTTCATTATGTTGTGAGAAATCTGAGCCCTTCCTGCTTTGCTGATACGAGGCACTGACATTTGTTTGATGTCTCCTTTAACAGTGGAATGTATATTGACTTTGACTTGAACAGAGGAAATAAGGAATTTACAGCACAGATGTATTCAGAATTGTCTTACTTCAGCATTTTGAAAACCTTTGAGACCTAGTTTTAATGAAAAGTGATGCTGTTGAAGTTGTAGTACCTGACTGAATTCAGCTTTCCAGATTCTAGCCACTCAGTCTTGCTATACTATAAGGCAGGTACCTTACAGCAAGTACATTAGTAGTTCTTAATCTCTTCTTCTGTTTATCACAACAGAAGTATTTCAAGATTCTCTTCCCATTTGTCCTTACTTAGAAGTAAGTGAGAGCTATTTGTATTACAAATTTAATTTTACAGATTTTACATTTTACAAAGTACTGCAATGTCTTTGTGCTGTGAGGTATCACTAGTGACTAAGATTCAGCGTAACTCTGCAGGGCTCACAGTCTGGACCAGGCATTACAAATACAAGGGCTAACACAACTCCTTGTCTTGCAGTGATGTAACAAATAGTTGGTCTGGTACTCAAGGAGACTCGGCCAGCTCAAGTGATGAGACCTCTTCAGCTAATGGAGACAGTTTGTTCTCCATGTTCTCAGGGCCAGACCTTGTTGCTGCAGTAAAGCAGAGAAGGTGAGCAAAATAAACATAAATGTGTATTGCTTCATAAGAGTTCTTTTTGTGATAATCTCATTTCAGTAGCCACACAAAAGGAATCCCTGCTAATTAGATGAAGATAATAGCAATGTCCATGTGTGTACTACACTGATGCTATTGGTCAGTGTACAGTGTATCTGACTTTAACGCTCCCATATTGCATTATATTAGTAGCTGTCTCCTTACGCAAACTAGCACCTGTGCAAATAGCCAGTTGTTAGCTGAAATTCAGCATGTCTAGAAAAGAACGGACACCCCTTACAAGAGAATCTACTTCGGATGGATGCCAGTGCTTTCTGAACTACTGAGGCATTAGAAATCATCTTTGAATTGGCTTTCCAAACTGAGTACAGTTTAGAACAAACATGCATACCCCAACTCAAGACAACCAAAACCGAGCAGATTTTGCAGAATGCACATGCGAAGGACTTCTATTCGATATTAGGTCACAGATTTAAACCAAAGGTAGAACGCTTGTTCTTCAGTAAATTCACTGTGCTTCAGCAGGTGTTTCAGTTGCTCAGCTGTTTCTTTTGTCTTGTCTGTAAAGTTATTTCAGAAAAAAATACATTAAAAAAAGCAAACCAAATTAAAAGAAAAAAACCACAAAAACCAAGAGCACATAGAACCATAGAACAGTTAGGGTTGGAAAGGACCTTAAGATCATCAAGTTCCAACTGCCCTGCCATGGGCAGGGACACCTGAAGAAGAAAAAAGGCAATTTATTTCTTACTGTCAGATTTCTTCAAAGTGGGCAAAAGCCTAGCGCATCTTCCTTTCACCTGTAGAAATACGTGTATGTGTTGCTGAAGCTGTAGCTCAAAGAACTGTCAAGCCTCTGACAATGTTCAGTAATGAATTTCTTTCTGCTTTGCTTCTCCTACCTGTACTGAGCAGACATGAAGCAAGACTAAATGTCAGTACACATTCTAGGCTGTCAGGGATGACAGAATGAAGCTGCAGAATGGTGTCTGCCAGTGGCAGATTAATGGGGATGACTCATTTAAAAAGCAAAATAATAAAGTGAATGTTACTGTCTTTCTGGGCAGAAAACACAGCAGTGGCGAACAGGAACCTAGCACACTACCATCACCACCTCTTCTTTCTGCAGCAGATGACCGTAACCAGGTAAGCTAAGAATGGCTTTGCTTAGTCATTTTTCGTATTTGCATTTAGGGGTGGTTCACACTAGGAGGACAACTAGATTAGCATCTGTATCTCCAGATATCTTAGCTAAAACACAGACCATCAGCACATTAGTACTAGATGCTTTTATCAAAGTTACCAGGTTTAAATACTAGCAATTCAAGTTAAGCTAAGAGGGAACACAGTCAATTTTAATTGTTTGTGCAGAGAAAACTGAACTACCACTAGATTTATTACTTGTCTTTGCTAGAAACTTTTGACTTGGAACAGGACTACTATGTGTAAAGCAAATGTGAAGTAAATAAAAATGTTTCTCAATAGGGAGATACTTTAAGAATCGGGAGTGGTATATCTATGTATCAATTCTGCTTTCAAACATATCTTCTGAAAATGTCTAAAGGAGGGGATGATAGTGTGATGTGTTAAGTATTGTCACAAAGTGTTTTGTTATTGTAAAAAAACCAAAACAAGCAAAAAACCCCCACAAACCAAAACCCCACAAGTCCCAAACCCAACTAATGTTTTCCCAGGATAATAAGACCAAGACCTGGCCTCCCAAGGCACCCTGGCAGCATTCAGCCTCTGTCACAAACACGCTACCTGGTCAAAGTACATCTTTGTATCCCATGAGCAGCCCTGTCAGCCAGTGGAGCGACACGATGCAGATTCTGCAGTCACCCATGTGGGCAGCAGCCAACGACTGTGCTCCAGCAGCGGGACTTTCCTCTAACTTTGCCTATGCGCAGCAGCAGCAGCAATCACAGCAGGCTTCCCAGCACAAACAGATGAATAAGGGCTTTAAATCTTTCCCTGTGAAGCATGAACGCAGACCATCTTACCTGCATCAGTACTGACTGCTTCTCATGTTGGGGAATGCAGCACAGGGCCAAACATAAATTACCTGTACTTTGTTTCACAAGTGTGTATTGGCTATATCCTGTTTATCTCATTAAATACAGAACTGAGGGGGATTAAATACAGAACTGAGGGGGATTGGGTGAGATATGCAAACTCTTGAATTCTGATTTACAGTGCTGAGCAAACATGGCCAATATGTTTGTTTGATGTATATGAAGCAGCCCAAAACTGTGATGTAGAAATGCTTTTAAAAACGTGTATATTGCCTTTACTTTCAAATTTTATTATTTTTTTTTAAGAACTGCTGAAGGACTACCATACAAGAAACACTGTATTTTATAGCTATTTTTCATATAGATTTATAGTTAAGCATCTTACTGAAACACATTGAGTATGTTGAAGCAAATATATAGTGGTCACTCTGCTCAACACTGTGTTTAAATTTCTAACAGCCAAGCTGTAAAGCCTTTTGAATTCTCCATAAATGGCCTGTGGGCAGCTCTTTTTAAATGAAGTGCAGCAGCTTTGTGTGTGCCATACAAGCGTGTTCACGGTGAGCCTGTTGCAGAAACGTGAAATTGAGTTTTGTGGTAGTTCCCTTACTCCTAAGTAATGATCTGCAACAGAACCACTGGAGCTTGTGTCACAGATGTTACCTGAGCTGCTTAAAGTAGATGGCGTCTGTGTGGATATTAAGACACTGGTTTTCAGATACAGAGTTTCTTACTGCTTCATTTGGCCAAAGGCATATCCACACAGTGCTTGTTAAGTGTGCAAAAGTACAGCTGAAAAGACTACTTGCATATATTGAAAGTCTTATTTCAGATGCTACAGTTGATTAAAAATTGTGAGCTGGCTCAGTAGATACTAAACTGAAACGTGGGGTAGCAGTTAGTTAAAAAAACATTATTTTTTTTTTTAAGGATAAAGTAATTATTTGCAGTCAATATGTGCCATTAAGTGAACCTGTGGAATTAGCAAAAATCTTCCAACCAAAGTGGATCTGTGAGAGTGACTGGTGCTTAAAAATTGAAGAACAATGGTAAATATATGTATAGCTATCCCACTGTATATTAATTGAGATTACAGAAGATTCTTTATATAGTTAGAGCTTATTTAAATTTTCATATTTCATCTTTGAAAGAGTCTAAAAACCACAATATTTTCTGGTATAAGAGTTTTGACAGTATTAATCTTATTTTTGTATTTTTCTTAAGTCATATCATTCTAATATGTTAACTACTAGTAAAATGGATTATTAGTTCTAACAACATAATTTTTCAATGAAGATAAAGCACATTTGTGGTTTTGGTTTTACAAACTAAGTACATCTATATCTAAAGATACCAAAAAAATAAATACATTATATAAAGTATACACAACACTAAAACTATTAAACATGTGGGTATTTAAAACCCATCCACCTTTTCTGTTTGTTCAGTGACGGGCTGTATTTGCAGGCCCTGATTGTTACCTTTTGTGCTGTTTTGAGGATGCCAATGTTGCCTGTATTTATGATATTGTCACCATGTTTTCTGAAACTTCATACTTACCATGTTTACAAAGATTTGTTTGCTGTACATAGACTTTTTACAGTAATGTGCTTTGCACAATCAGTGTGGCTTCTGTCTGTAAATTGTTTATGGTCTGTACTACTATGATTTTGAAAACCCTCTGCTGAAAATGTTAGTGGTTATTTGATGAATGGTTTTGAGTTTCCTAAACCTTGTCATTTAGAGCTAATATTAAACCCTAAATTTGGTTGTAGTTACTGGTTATTCATAATAAGACCAAAATGGAAGTTAATGAAAACACTTAATTTTGAACTTTTTCTAACAAGTGCCAAAATTATTGCTACAGTTTTTGCAGTTTGTTCATAATGACAAATGCTGGCAAGTTTCTGGACCTACAGAAGTGAGTTGTGAAAACAAAACAAGTCTGTCTGCATTTTGACCACGTAGGTGCTACCCTGTCCTTTGCTTCCATCCTCCTGAACACTGGTAATTTTGAGAATTGTTGCACTTGGCAAATGAGTCTTGCCATTAAAGTTCACTTACACTGCCAAGTGCAAGGGTTTGGTGCTTAGTTAACTTACCCTTATTGCAGTGCTTCTTGTGAATAGCTAATGCTTCTGAACTGGAACTGTACATTTTGTATTTTAAAGCTTCTGTAAAAGTAAACTATTTGCTTTATTAAAGACATACATTTACTAGGTCATACCTGTTTAAAATATGCACCTTGCTGAAAATGAGCAGCACCTTAAACTGTAATTTTGGTTTGTAAACAAAGATCTTATTTCATTAACATGGGATTATTTAACAGTTTGAAAATTGTCAACTGCCTACTTACTGACTCGATCATATAAAAATGAGCTTCATGCACTGTACAATTTGAAGCATCTTTAAGGCTACCTTTTCAAGTAGAATGCACTGAAGAACATGATACAGAAAATGCCTTAGCAGTGTCTTTGAACAAGCAGTGCTGATGAACATTAACATACTGTGTTGAGCTTTTAGGAATCAGAGTAAACAACTTTGATGGTAGTGAGCAAACTGTAAACTTCCCCCAGCTAAGTAAGACTGTTAGTTTAGCTTATGCCTGTCATGCCACTGAAATGCAGTATCTATCTGAGGTGTGCAAGCTGTGCTCTTTCTGGGTGAGAGTACCCAAGTGTACAGCGTAGCATAAATGATGACAAACACACAGGAAGCGTACAAGTCCATTGTGATTATGCAAGAATTTACTTGTTTACAGAGTCTACAGTACAGAGCATTTCAAGCAAAAAGGAAAAGCCTTGACACAACTAGGGCAAACACACAGCCTTCTCTCACTGGAATAAAGGCTCCGTTTCTCCCTTGCACCCCACTGCCATGTTATGCAACAGTCTCACCCTCCCTAGAGACATTAACATTCTTGCTTCACAACATCACTGAGCTGCTCCTTTGTTAATGTTACATGAATCCAGAAATACATTATAATTTACAAGGAACATCTTTAATTTACTGAGTAAAGTCTTACAGTACAAGGTACAAAACAGTCTTCTGCTTGCATCTATGGCAGTAAATGACTGGCTGTGTTGTGTTGGAGGTAGAAGTCATCCAGTTAAATGCTTCCCTGTTATTGTACAGTCTTACGTCATGAAAGCCTCTGCGTCATGAGACTGCATAGGGCCTCCAAACGCCCCTGTGGTAGCACTGTCCTGACCACCAGGCTATGTTCAGTAGTACACTACATGTAGTTTTTCAGAGGGGAAAAAAACACAGGACTATGATAATGATCACCCTTAAGAAGTTCTGCTTACAGAAAGAGGGAAGAAGCTAGCCTAATATGACATTAAAAGCTACATTCACATTTTCAACATAAATGCATAGATGACTTTTTACCTGCCTGTCAAGACCACACCCTCTCAGCTCATAAAAGCAGGACTCTAAACTAAGTAGTTCTACTGATGGTTAAAGCATCCCTGCTTGTGTCCAGGTATGTGCAGTCATTCTGTGGTCTTCTGCATGCTGAGTGGCGTCGCATCAGCAATTGTAGCTAAATAAATGAGGTTTCTGTGCAGGATATGCTGGTACCTATGAGAGGAAAAAACAAATCTGGGAAATGCGTTCTTTTCTAGCAAATTACCCACACTTCGTCACCTCTATAATCTGATCAAGATTTGCTCTTAGGAAAAGAAACAGCAAACTATGAAAATAACAAAAAATGAGGGCAAACACCTCTATATCCAGTTCTTGTTCTAAAGCCCAGAATGATGCACTGAACTGCACTGTGTAACCAGGTATGTGCTACAAACCGACCCTGACAGCGAACACCTACATTAAGTTATTTCTGTGGTCAATACTGCAGAGCTCCAGGAAGCAGCCCAGGGGTAGGAGATGGCACAGCTCCACTGCTGGGCAGGCCTGACAGTGCAGTCAGTACAAAAGCCGGCTGGGCGCTGCCAACCTGCTCATTCTGGAGGTCCCCTCCAAGTTCAGGCACAGCCGAGCTGCTGCAGACACAGGCTGATGACGCTGGCTACCTGCAAATACTACTCGGTGTACTTCACACACTGGGGGCTGGGAAGAGCTTGACCCAACAGCGCTGGTTCTCATACCAGCACAGAACAAAACCCTTAGCAGAAAGGTATCAGATTCACTCTATGCACTGGTTTCGCTTCACAGCTCCGTGAAAGCAATTTTTGGGAAGCCGCCTAGGCAGCACAACCGCACTTTACTAGCACAGGAAAGCTCTGGAGAGCGGGAACCGTTTCGTTCCCGTCAGGAATGTGCGGCCTGCGAAGCTCTCGGGGCTCGGACTGTCCCGGAGGAGGCCGGGGGGTGAGGGTGGTATCAGCGCTTGCGCGGCGCCCGCGGTGTCTCGGCTCACTTACTGCACGCAGTCGGTGGCCCGGCCCTTGCTCTGGTACTCCACGATGCACCGGATCAGCTGGTCGTTCTCCTCCAGTAGCTAGGGCATAGGAGCGCGCCGTCACGGCCCGCCGCGGCTCGCTACCGCCCCACAGCCAAGGCCAGCAGGGCCAGCTCTACCTCAGCCGAGTCGGAAGGGCCCGTGCCGCAGCCACCACCACCACCACCACCGCCGCCGCCACCGCGGCCCCCACGGCCAGCACTCACCCGCTGCAGCGTCTCCTGGTTCACCTCCGTCTTCCCGCGCAGCCGCTCCGGCACGAACGCCACCGACATGGCCCCTCCGTCGCCTCGCTCAAGGCCTGACGGGAACCGACGGCCGCCACCGGCCCCGCCCTTCGCAGGCTCCCATTGGCTCTGAGGGGCTGTCGCGCACGCCCCCCCCCTTCCCCGGGAGCAGCCGCCGCGCGCCTTGGCACGTCCGTTGCGCTGCGGTAGGCGTGGCCCGCCCGGCTTCTCCCTCCTACCACCGCTCTCCCCATGACCGCGTGGTGGCGCGCTTTGAGCGGCCCGTGAGCCGCCCGCCGCTCCCCGACCGTAAATCAAATAACCTCCAGAGCCGGTCTTCAGGGAACGGTTTATTGGGGTTTAACATAAAGTGAAAACAAAAGGAACATCCCCTCGGTGCGCGGCCCACAGCCCCTGCAGGCAGCCTCGCGGGAAGGGCCGGACCGCCTCACCCCCTTCCCAGCACAGACTGCCCGTATTTACAACTCATGTTTAAATAAGCCCGGGCCACAGCCTGCAGTAGAGTTATTGCAACAGCACAGCACTGGCTCTGCGGTCCAGCATCCCCCACGGCTGCTCACACTTATGATCTGTGGATCCCAAAAGGCATTGCTGTTAACATGCAAAAAACATTACTAAACAATATTATCTTAACTTCTACTTGACCTTAATAAGGAAACCAATTACAAAATACTTCCCTGTAGTGCTATACAAAAGTTACAAAATTAAGGTTCTATCACCACTTTTAAATATCCCAATTTTCCAACAGTGCAGTCTTCCACCTTTTATTACCACTGAGCATTGTGAAGTTTAAGAAGAAAAATAAAATGAAATCTGCAAATTAGAACAAAAGGTTTTAATCTTTGGATCCCTTTATTTCTGTGGCCTTCATACACACAGACAGACACAAATGACTGGGGTTTCTATTCCAGCGCATCAAAGCATCATAACTAGTCACTCGTAATTGGCAGAGTCCATTCTACATCAGCTGTGACTTCACGGTCTTACAACCTGGGTCATAATGTCTCCAAGCTATGGCCTAGCAAAATGCAAACAACTTCAAACACTAAGAATTCTTTAAATTGCTTATGTCTACAGGTATTACAACAAAGTTAACAGCTCAAAAAATGATGAATGGAGACATGTATCAGACCCAGTCACTCCAGGAGAATCACAAACTTGTGTGCCTGGTCCATCATTAGAAAGTTAATATTTATCACGAAGTAAAATTAACTGCAAATTTGACACACTAAATTTTCTGTTCTCCTTACTTTAAAACATCTCCTTTAATTTGGTCAAATCCTGTGATATGCCAGAAACTAAAAAATTATATCCTTGCAAAAAAGAGGAAAAATGTATCCAGTTCTGTGTGATGGAAGAGTATTTTTAAAGTCTTCACTAGAGTCCAAATACAAAAATCAAACATTTAAGACCAAAAAGCTGCTAAAAAAGAAAAACAACAAATTCAGTGTTCTTCAGCATATCAACTTCCGCAATAACACAGTATGTTTGCTGACTTAAAAATGTTTATTCCTTAAAAAATTAGTTGCTTTTTATACAGCTATACAAAGTTTGTGATGTTTCTTTGGCAATGGGATACAATGGAATTTTACAACTATATAAAAAGATTCCTTTGCCTAAGAAACAGTATTTACTGTGTGTACATACTTGACTGACAAAGCAAGTTACCTACTGTCCAGCACTCTAGTTGATAAAAGTACAACTATCTCAAAAGGGATATTACAGGATTTCCAAAAAACAAACTTCAGTGGGTCAAAACACTCACAGTATCGACGGCCTTCTGCATACAATTGTTCTTACAACTTGAAGCAATTATCAAATACAGTTTAGTAGTAAGAAAAATCCTTTCAGTGATGAAAAAATACTTAACTCCATCGAAGTACTGCTTTATAATTAACTATACATAAGAAATTACTCATCCTTCTTTCTCAAATATATTTAATGCTCACTGTTTTCAAAGATGGCCATTTTTCTTAAGTAACTGCATTACACCCCTTTGAAATTAAATAGTTAAATCCCAGTGCTGGTGACAAGTATACAGCAAATTAACTTCATTCTTTGCAGAGATTGAAACTAATTCTCTGGATCAAGAAGATCTAGATGTTCACCCAGTTTCAGCTTTCCTGTAGACTATGCAGCAACCTTGTTGTCTTTCTAGAGGGAACAAAAGTGTAAGATTAAAATTAAATCTGCAAAACAAACAAACCCCCTAACCAAAACAAACAAAAACACCACAAAAACAACTACAAAAATATAATCACAAATTAATCTGGGCAACAGCATTAGGCCAAGATGTACCGTGATGGCTCCTTCCCATCCTCACAACAGGAAAAGAGACCTCCCTGTGCAAGCAGGGTTACTGTCTGGTTAATGCTCCTTCACCTGGCACATGCTGAAGCAGCTTGTCACTTGGACATGGCACAAATTCTAGGTCTTTACATTACCTCCCACTTAGCTGGAAGGCTGTGAAATTATTTCACGCAGAAATTCTGATCTTCTACCCCTCATTTCAATAACATGCTCAGCTACCAAAAATGTCTTTAAATCACAGGACTAATTGTTGCAAACTAACACAGGAGTAATTGAGGGACAGTCAGAAATCCTTAGCCACGAGAAAAAGATCCAACCCCTCTTGTTTTTATTAAAAATATTTAAATTTTCAGACATAAAGTAACTGCTCATGCAGTAAACTACCAGACAAAGTTTTTCTGTGCCAGTCAGAGTTGTAAAAGCCTACAATTCCTTGCACCAATATGATTAATTACATTTGATACTGATTCTGAACAGGGTGCCAGTATTACTGCTGTTCCTTCACAAGCCAATGTTCCAGCTGCATATACACATCTGACGTCAAGAAAAATATCTTGCACTGAAATTGTTGCAAGATTTTGTTTCTCTAAACAGCTGAACTCTGCTGAGATCATATGTATGATCCACAACCTTTCATACAGAACTGAATTTACCAAGTTTCCAATGTAAACTGGAAAATTTATACGCAAAGTATTATTCAAAAAATTCTAGTTCAACATCAAATCTAATAGCAGGAGGTTTTTCACTACTAGTCTCCAAGAACAGTGGATCAGGTTACAGTAACATTAAATATATTTTACCCTGTATTCAAAGTCAGCAAATTCCCTGCCTCCACGACCTCCTCTGAATCCACCACGGAATCCTCGGGGGGCAGTGAAGCCACCTCTTCCACCTCCTCGACCTCTTCCACCTCGGAAACCAATCGCCCCTCTGCCTCTGTACCCTCCACGGCCACGATTGGGACGCAGTGGAATCCCAAAGGTCTCTGCATTTAATCTTCTTTCTTCAGCCCACGTGGGTCGCCGCTCTCTGTCACACAAAAGAAACAAGGATCACCGTAAAACACACTTCAAAAGGAAGATTGCCTGGGTTAGTCAGAATCACCAAAAAGCCCATGAAATGAAAAATGATACATTAATCCCACTGTAAATCTTCATTATCCCTTCTGCAAGAATCTAGGTGTGTGCCACAATTCATTTCTCTCAACAAAAAGGGGTATGTTACAGTATCACTAATTATATATTAATAATGCTGTAAGAGTTTCCAATATAGAAGGACACAGTCTGTATCCTCTGCATATAACATCATATAACTAAATAAATCTTAAGAAGTTATATGCAATTTAAAACAAGACACAGAAAATATAAATTTGCAGTTACAGATGCTATTTTATCTAGCTGTCAGTACATGTTCTGCTGACAGGCAGAGTACGAAACAAAACAGCATGTTATACACTAGCTGTATACAGTTTACTAAACAAGTACACTAACATGAATAGGGTCTGTACCTCTATATACACAGTAAATAAGTACAATAAAGCAAATCGGATGTGTGTATATATATACATATATATACACATGTAAGTACAGAGGAAAATTAGCAATGAATCAATTCATTACTCCATAGAGAGAACAGAGATTAAGAAGAAATACTTGACCAATCACCATCCAGGCCCACACTTTCAGCTGGGAAGCTCTGCTGCAGCCAATGCCAGGAGTTTCAGGTAACTGCGAAAATTCCTATGCAGTGTGTCTACCCATAGGGGAGGCTCTGTATTTGGCCACAAGAGGGTCCTCCTTTTATACCCTTTGAAAAACAACCCACTTTATGCCAGATCTCTTAATTGTTTATTTGTGGGGCCATGCAGTTTCTCATTATCTCATTTGTCCACTGTGAGAGTGCTGGCCAGGCACACCAGTGTAGCCAAGTATGAAGGTCATAGAACAGCTGCACATCTACGTTTTCCTGCATCTTTGTGACAAACAGTAACAATGAACACATATTCTACCAAATACACTTTGACAAAACATACTCCCTTGTATCTCTCAGTCACAAGAGGGAATCAGCTCCCAGCTAGGTTCCCATCCATTACATATCAACACCTCTCCACCCCATAGTTCATATAGGTCAGTAATCCATACCACCTTGTCTAATAAGAAGGACAACAGCGAAAGACAAGCTCTAACATTCCTGAAATGCTGTCTTCCTATTCAAACACCACAACTTGCCAAGACAGTTACGTGATCTACTTAGAAGCCATTACTAAGGCAGAGTTGTAACTGATTTAACTAAAGTGGTGATTTAGTAGGAAAATAAATCACAACACCTACTTCAGCAAATCTGTAAAAGAGATTCTGGAGTATGCATACTAAGTTCCAGAAGTATAGTTTGGAAAAAAAAAAACATTTAAAATATTTTCTTATTATTGCACTGGACTTGCCCACAAAGAAATTTTGTGCTTGGTATTCCTATTTTATTTTTTGCCTACTGCATGTGGAAATAAGCTTTACTCATTTTCAAACCAGAGTTGACTTTAATGAATAGTGCTGGCACTAACTTGCAACATAAACAGGCATTAAGAAGACTAACAAGTTTCCCCTCACAGGTCATACCTATTGTCATCACAGGAGATGTTATCAAAGAAGGATTTGGTTTTGTCATAGTAGCAGTTGGGGCCAAGTGGATCTTCCTCATCCGCATTCCCTTCACTATTTTGGGTATCAACACCTGAGTCACCTTTGTCTTCTCCATTTACAGGCTTCTCTGGTTTCTCAAGTTTATCTTCTGGAAAATAAACAGAA